TCTGCTGGTCCCCGAGGAAATACGAGAATTTCCGCTTGTGGCGTAGGGATAGGACTTTGCATTTAGAAACATTAAATTCAATGTCTTTCTCCTTAGACAATTGATAAGCTGCGTTGAATGACTCCTGAAGTGTTAGATAGCCCTCTGGTTCTGTTACCGTGTTCCAGATTTTGTCGTCATCTGCAAACAGTACGGTTAGCATTTGTGCGAAATCGAATCGGACGAGATTTTCAGGTATCTGCGTTGGGATACCCTAAGACACTGTTCATCTAGATTACCCTTACTGGTAACAGAATTTTTATTTTGTAGGTTATTAATAAAGTATTATGTGTACGTATTAGTCAAATTTATTCGAACGATCTTAGGTTTCAGCTTATACAAGCACTTCCTTGGATTGCCGTGCAAGCGTCACGGTGTAACAGATGGGCCGGAACTGGTAAGCAGCTGGAGTTCATCCCTGTCCCAACTCAAACTGAATTCACAATGCGAAAAAGCTAAGCAAATGAATCTTGTGCACAATCCGTTCCATTCCATTCACGTTTCGGACAAAGTAAGTTTACATGTGATGTTAAATACTTACTTGTTCTCAGGAATATCACCAGACGTGAAGTGCAAGTGTTTTCAATCACCTCGGTACACTGGAATGTACTCAAACCACTAGACATTGACAATACAAACATGTCTGTTTTGCTGGATATGTAATCTGAATGATCGTAGGAGACGAATTTGCTTTTCCCGTCCAATGAACGCCAGAGTGGTCCATTGACTGAAGTGGTTCTCAGATGACTGCTTTCACATCGTACAAATAGCGGACCTTTAGACACATCGTGCACAAGTGAAGGACTGCCAGAAAATGTTAAGCTCAACCGAATCGATTCTCTTTCTGTAAAGTAAGGTGAAAATGAGAAGACAAAGTTTACCTTGTTGACTGAAACGTGAAATTCTCTGCAAAAGGCTCATACAATCATATATATTCGATAACTTATGCATATAAAAACTTTCTTTGATTTTCGTTATATGTGCAATCGTAAGAGGAACAATTCGTGGTAGTAACCCCGTTGCACACGCTAAAAATAAACACATAGTCAGGACCTTAGACGCAAATGAGCGAGCGTATAGCAAAAACAAGTGCAGGCAATGCATGCAACTGAGGTGCGTTCAAGCAGGACAGTCAGATTATCAATAGATGACTGACCGCGGACAACTCAGTCCTGAAGCTTGTTTGATTAAAACAAATCGATCTTAGAACAGACCGAGTAACTGTGTCAGTGATATTCAGTATCGGTGATTGAAACAATCACAATCTGGATGGGTTCCAGTTTTCATTTCTGTCACTCAACAGACCACAGGAAGTGATACTTACTAACAATAGAAAAAACCACATCTTCAAAGAGATTCAAACCATTCTTTTTGTAATAACAACGATAATCGTATAGCCCCAGTTCGGAATCCGGTGTTACGCGGATCGCATTTTTGTTCTGCACTACTTGTTTGTCCGGAATTAGGCTTTTCCACCGTGGTTTATAGCGCTCTTGACTGATTGCGATCAAATTCACGCCTTCCAGTAGACAAGTGTATATATGCGTACCGCCAGAAACATGAAACTTTTTGTTCAATCCATTAACCATTAATGTTATGCTTTCCGAAGCTACAAAAAAGAAAACAATGAAAGCATATATTTGAATAGAACATAACTACGATGATAGCAATTTCGATCCAAAGAATCACATATCGAACAGCCCTGGCTTTTGATATGCATTCGAAGCAACTTATCAGATTGTTGTTGCCTGACCGTATCATTGCAGTTGTTTGTTAATTAGGTGTCCTGATTTAAATGTACTTTTTTCTCTCTTCAAGTTTAATTCCTAACAGCTTTGCGATTAAAGTTCTGAAAGATTGGAATGAAACTGTATGATGAACTGTCACCTGGGGACACAGAGTTATATATAGACAGGTATTGACCAAACTCGTGCAACATCCTGATTTTCATCACATTTGTTCCTCTCAATGCTTCGTTTTTCCAGCCTCATTCATGGGATTGAGTATAATATTTCCCCACATCAGACGCAACATATCTAATATAATAGCCACTTATGTCTTTGCTTCTGTTAGCCACATGCCATTAAAATGTACAATTTCGCCGTTTCAACGATTTTTGCTGGCGCATCAGTTGTAAGGTACCAAAGTCACAGTAGAAAACGTAGCGGTAATTTATTTATTAAAAGGACTCATAGACTTTATACAGGTGTTGCACTTTCTTGTCGTCCATGTTCCATTTGCTCCTCTTCATTTCTGAGCACTGGAGGCAGTCGCTTTAGGATGGAATCCACCAAGTTGACTGCCAAACAGAATTTGCAAGTTTCCTCTAATACACCGCACACCCTTAACACCGGCGACCAGTGGCAAGGTAGCTAACCTATCCCTGTTTCTGATAGAGGGAAAAGTTTCCGAATAAAATAAAATTTCAGCTGCTGCGCGTTAATAAAACGAATTTGACATTGAAATCAACCCCTCTAGAAACTGCATAAATGAGAAGAAATAATATTTATTTTGGTCTAACCGTTTTCTACCACCAAGCTCAAGCGAGCTGATATGCCAACCTTCATATGTGAAAAATGTGACTTCCGCGAAGTGAGTGACAGTTATCAAAATCCTCCCTTATGATTGCAGAAAGTTTTGCTATGTCCGAATTGGCGTATGCAGGAGACCAACAACATTGCCCTCAATAATCGTATCCCTTCCAACTCGTTAGGCGGTGTAGATATTTAATTCTTTTGACAAGTAAAAAGAAATTCATTAGAAAACTGGCTCAGTAGATCATCTTCAAAAATATGCTGAATTACTTGTTGGCCACCAGTGAGATAACCCCATTGCCAAACGGGCGGGCGACGCGATTTGAATTTGTTGGTCAAATTGATACACGCTATGCTTTGTTGGGCGTTCGGTAACAGCTTTATATCACGTGGCCTCAGCTGCATTTCAAATTGAGCCATCATTTTCCAAACTAAAGCGTGGGGAAAAAATGGTTAATCAACCCAGACTAACATCCAGATTGGTTTTGTGCAACTCTTCTCTGCCGCGATCAAATATAACCATCATCATACTTTGATATGGCTACTTTTCTCCCTCTCGGTTTATGTCTTGATGGAGAAATTTCGTTGAATGTACAACAAATTGGACTTATGTTTACATCGAAGCGCTTCCACAAGATATCAACTGAGCCAATAGATTCATGCGCCTCTCGTTTAAGTTGTTTCTCGGCTTTAATTATTCTCCAAAACCTTTTGCAAGTTTCATCCGGTTTGGGCATGATGACACTACAGGACGCTTATTCAACTAACCGCACATCTCAAGGTCAACTTTCGAAGATCAACTTGTGTCTTTCTTGGGCTATGTTTTCAGTTCTTCCAGTATTGGAGATATTACGTGATTAGTTTGTAGCCTAACAGTTTAACAATTTATTTAGGTTAGAATATTTTCAATAATTTGCTTATTTACTTTGAACTGAATGAAAAGAGAATAGAAATTTAGAATACGTTTGTTCAACTTAATAGAAACTCTCATGGAACAGGGATTATATACGAGGTCCGCTAATTCCCAACACTTTTATCTTTTTGGTGAATCAACAAAATGAGTAACAGACGAGTTTTCTTTTTCCCCGACCACATATGGTCAGATGCAGCTCCCTTACCGGGATACAATGACTACTTTCCAGATGATTCAACAAAAAGTGCTTCTTTGAGGGACCATGATGGTTTATCAACTTTGATCTCTGAAGTCAAAAGGTGTTCCTAAAGCATCAATGGAGTAAGGGGTTTCCACAGTTCGCCACAGGTGCTTCCTCTGTAGTTTCAAGTTAGTAAGAAATAAAGAATAAAACAAGCATGAACCCAAAGGTGGTAGTCCTTATTAACGGGATGCATCTCTGAGGCCAATAAAAATAATACGATTCGGAAACAAAAGCTTCTTTTTTAAGTGGAAGTGATCATGCTCCAAGAATGCGCGCCGTAGAGTGCGAAGAAGACAAAATCGCTGTTCTTATTACATAAGCGGGTTCTCTGAACAGCGATGCATTGCAGAACGTGAGGCATCTTAAATGAATTCGAGAACCACATGAAATTGTCCAGTTGTTGGGTTTTCTGCAGGCATACATAGAAGCAAAACTTTCACTAAACATTTGTGGTAACATAAAGACGTATGTTGAAGTTTTCTATGTATAATTTGTTGTAGTGTAGTTAAATGTTTTATAATTCTAGTTCTTTTGTTGCTTCTGGTAATCCTGTTGCTATTTATCTTCTTGTTGTTATTGTCCTAATTCTGGTAGGAATTGTCTTTAGGTATTCTGCGAGAATGCCAATAAAACGCGTTCATCAAAATCTCTAACTTTGAACTTGAACCAATCGTAAAGGAGCTACCTCCAGCAGTCAGTACATAACCAGAATACAGGTGATAGCATGAACACAGCTCAAATATGTACAAATGTAAACAGTTATCAGATGGGAAAGTGATAAAAACAAGAATTGTTCTCTTTTCTTGAAGTTGATAGATGCCAGTTATCCGGTTTTTTCAGCTAGTACGGTTGCATTTGCATACGCTTGTCTTTGATGCTGCATTCTGATGTTTGTTTGAATGAAGAATATTGGATTCATTAGGATGGTACCATTTGGATGTGGAAAGGGAAGGTGAAAACCCGAATGGTGAATGCTTTTGAAAATATCCGTTGACCAAATCAAAAAAGCCTACTGATGAGACTGTTTTTGGTTAGAGGGAAATTTTGTTAGTGCACTATATCGCAGATAAATCATGACATTGAATTATGATTCATTCTTCCGCGTTCATGGCTAATTAACACCTGGAGGATTCCCATAAGAATATCATAAGACAACCAATACGGAGAACAAGCCTATGTTCCAAACTTCACCTTCGTCATTTACATTTGAATGCCTATATTTACGGTGGAAATAAACGTGCCTGGCTCATGAAGTGAAATAAGAAAGAACAACAATGTCTACCACGTTATCGGGGTAGATGGAGAAAAGGAGAGAGACAAACCAAACCGTGACTTCTGTCAAGTCTTGAAGAAGTAACATGGCGTGACATATCGCACGTTGGCAAAAGTCATCCCCAATTTCCAGATTCGTCCTTAGACACTCTCTATTATTCCATGCCCCCCCCCATAGAACTTGGCAGACATTGTTATTTTTTCCCATTTAAATTAACGAACCAATCATGTTTATGTCCAACTTAAATGAAAACATACAACTGTGAATTCGCGAAAACGAATTGACGAAAACATGCCTCATTGCTTTATTAGTTCACACCTTAAGGCTAATTTCATTCGTTAAGCTCCAACTCTAATGATACGATTTCTTACCCTTTCTGTAGAATCTGTAGAATCGATAAAATCTAAGGATATTTGGGCATTATATTAAATCCAGGAATACATCAATAGGGTCTAATGATTGGTGAAATATTTGTACGAACATAATTGAAAAGCCAATAAACATAGAAGAGTTCAATACAGTGAATCTTATTACTCATGCGAAATTGGCTGGGTTAACCACTGGAACTCACATACAATTGTCAGCTTGCGATTAAATGTGGCAAATCCTTTTAGAGGATTATATTCATAAAAGAATTCACCAGGTACCAGTTCCTTAGACGGTACTGCGAAGCTCACAAAGTTGTAAATAGAAAGTGACGAGTCTTTGTCAATGACGAAAGGAATGACCCGTCCTTTCGCATTGAGTACCTTCCAATTCCCATCTATGCGATCCAACAGGGATTGCTCATACGGGGTGCTGTGATTTTTTGTCAGGAACAGGGTAACAGAGGGATTCTGGTTGAACAAGTAAAACGATTGCTCCGGTTTTACGCCCAAGTACAGTTCTTTTGCTATCAGACAAACAAAAGGGTAAACGGTAAACAAATAGATATGCATTTTTAAGAAGGATTCATAAAAGTCTCTGCATAAGATGATTGCTCTGTATATAAGTCGCTTGAAGCTTACATTTTAAATCCTACATACACAAGCAGTATGTTCAGTTTGGTAGGTTTTGATTAAAACAATGTGATAGCGGAGCGCGTGATCATTAAGGTACATCATATTGGCTATCAATAATGTAAAAGAAAGTTAATCTAACGAAGGAGATTTCCTTCGCATAATGGACGCTGTGTCGGACTCCAATGAATCATTGAGAAAATTCAATGTCACCCACTAAAATCCAAGAATTACTTTTGAAATCAAAGCGAACGACAACATGTTGTTATCATAAATCTGTTTTTTTTTCTTAGAATAAGTAGCGCAATGAAGCTTTTGGTCCATAAAACAACCATAAAAGGCTGATACCTGCGATTCATCATCAAACTACAGATAAGATTTGAAACGTATTTCATCTGCTGCTTGGCAAAGATGATTGTGGAGATTTACAGCTGAGATACAACAAGATTAATCTTTCTATTCACGAAGATACTTCCAGCAAGCGGTGATTATCCGGAAGGACAAACTAGCCGTATGACTTGACGAAGTATGGACATGGTGTAATAGGTTGAGCCTAGGAAGAAGTCGACAAACATTTATCGAAATTTTAAGCGGAACAAACCAGATGAAGACATCCATTTTGGACCAGTTAACGCTGAAAATAATACATTTTATACAACAGTTCAACTGCGTTCACCTTTATCAATAAGTAACCATGCGCCTCAAAGTAGTGGTTATAGGTGCTGTCATCTGCCTATCCAGTTCGACGACAGGGCAGATGAGCGTGCTGAAAGCAGCAACTTATTTTGAAGCTAGACAGTCTCGGCAAACTAAATTTGCAGGGACATTGAGTAGATGCACGAGTGTCATTGTATCGCTCACTGTCTACTCAGCAAAGGTTCATGTTTTTTCCCATCCAAAAACAAATTGTGTGACCACAAGCGTGTCTGATTCCTTCTTCCCATTCAGTGCCTACTCATTTTCTTGACCCTGATCAGAAATGTTCTCTAGGTGCACAATTAGATGAATGTTCAAAAAAATCTGTGCGCAACACACTGTATGGTGAAATACAGGAAGAATGAAATCACTCACGAGTGCAAAGAAAATAATAGACCATCCTGCGGAAAATTCCTCCCATTATAAATGGGTTGTGGTTAACTGTCAAGGATTGTTCGTGATTGCATGCATCACAAAGCAAAGCTGAATTAGTCTCCACTAGCCCTCTGTGTGCCACGAATAAATTAGTATAGGTGGCCAACATGACCGAAACCACCGCTACCACTCAGCACAAGACACTATTATAAAGCCATTATGAAGGACTAAATTTGATAAGATTATGAACTTCTTCGTTTGCATAGGAAACTAAACATGGAAGTCAAAGTTCGGAAACAAGGGATAGATGTCTAACCGTACAGCACTCAGAAACAGTGGGAATGTATCGACAAAACTCAGGATTGAACTCCCGACCACACGAGTAGAACCTCAAGCATGCTACCCATTGAACCACCAGATATCTGGTTGAGCCAGTTCAATCTGTGCAACCAACCATTACAATCTTACGAGGAGCTCTCCTAATTTCCTATCATAGCATTTGGGTCTCCAGCATTATGATTTGTCCAGAAATGTTTGTCGTGAACGAAAGGACGAACGCATTGAAGACGAAAATATTGTTTAGTGCTATTTTTAATTGTCGCAAAGCCTTTGTGGGCAAATGAAGCGAAGGTTATGTTTGAGGCAATAACGAACGCTCACAAAGGGGAACCCAAGACTATCGACTATGTCTGGAGTCTTTTCGACTCTAACTGGTTGAGCTAAACACATTCTAACCGATCACCTGATCAACCTGATCATGCATACGACTTCAGCATGGAATCAACTCTCAGTAAGCTGTGATATGAATTCACCCTTCTTCCATACATATATATGTATATATATGTAAATATATACATATATATACGACTATATTACCGATTCGTAAGTGGGCTGGTTACAAAAGACCTACCAGCAAATTTACCCGGTGTTATGAATGAGAGTATTGTGACAAAAATACACTTTCTAGGTACAAGTATAGGAATGAAGTGAGCAACGATTACCAGTTACGCATACCCGAAGAGAAGCGAGAAATGTAAAACCCACCATGTGTTCAGTTATTCGTATACTACTAATTATACAAACACTGAAAATCGTCCCTGCCGACGATTTGGTGACCGTAGGAGAACCTGATCCAAAACATCTATAGTACAGATACGTCGCAATAATTTCTCTAAGCTTATTTGTCTGAACTCCACTCCAGAGAAGCAAATGAGATTTACTTTGCCCATAAACATGTATATAATATTTTTACATCTGGCGTCAAATAAGCCAAGGATTGAAGAAAGTGACATGCGGAGAAAAAACAAGAACAATATAAAAAACAGTCCATTTCGGGTGGAAGCTAACAAAATTATGTATCGCATTGTGCATCTAAACTCCGAATCGCAAACCCGTCGATTGTGTGACGCGAAGATTCACGGGTTGCGGAGCAAGAAAAATATTGACTAAATGCCTTGCTTTTAGTCCAGTACAAATCAAGACAATCATTTATGGACTCTGCCCTCAACATTCCAATCTCCTATTTACTCTTTTATTCAATTGGTCAGCCAAAAGCAGCAGTCAAAACCGGTGCTTAATGTTTGTGAAAACTGAACTGAACTGAACGTTTTCACAGGGGATTTGTAATCATTATAAATTATAGGTAAAATCTGGGCACATTCGTTTCGTTGATTCCTACTTCTATGCCTCAGGGTCAGAGCGCATAATGTAAAACAGTCCTACTAACTTACTGTTCAGTTTCAAATAGCCATGATTTGAACATTATCTCAAGACAGTTCCATAAAATCATCATTTTAGCATACCGTGAAACTCAAAGGTTCTGCCAGGTTCTTCATCAGGACAAATTTCATACTCAGACATTGTTTGGTCCCATTTTTCAACGTGAATTCTCAAGGTAAACCGTTCCCAAGAGACTTCCAATTTGGGTCGTTTACAGTGGTCAAGGCTACGAACCGTTTCGCTCGTGGCCCCAATAGATGCATTAAATTCATTTGACAAAGTTTCCAGGGCCAGAAATTCGTTCGTCACTGGCCGTACCACTCGATCTTTATACTGTCCCACGATGAGTTTTTGCACTGGGTTTGCACGCACGTGAAGTGTCGGACAATTGCAAACAATCTCAATTAACCCGGATGGCAAATCTCGATAAGAAATCGATCGAGTAAAGGAAATGGATCCATGAGACTTCAACTCCGGATTGTGTATCAGACATATGACCGGAAATGCATTGTTCAAACGATCTTCCGATTCACGTGTTGCGTTGCGCCAACTGAGATGAGCTAGTAGATTTCCTTCCACGGATCGATTAATGAGACCATTTAATGGTAGAAGCATAATAAAAAAATCTTCTTTTGTGTCTGGTGAGTACAAGAAGGATATTAGGAACAATATGTTATTGATAACAAATAGATACAGCTGAGATAAAACAGAAACCGAATGTTAACTTTAGTTTTCTTTTTTTAAACTTTTAGTCTCTGCATATTGCACAACACGTGCTGTCTAACCATAACTGAACCTCCTCCACAAACATTCAATGAGTGAAAACATTTGTACAGTAAGTTAGGAGTTTCACCTGGGAACTAGGGTCGAATTGTAACGAATTAAAAATAAAACATTTTCTGATATCTGATGCCATTCTATTTTCATACAGTGTCATGAAGTATAACAATACTTCCTATTGAACAATTTATATTCGTTAATGTTCCCGCTTTCATCAGAATAGTCAACATAAATCCTTAAAAGGACATCTGAAACGAGTACCTTCTCCACTCCCCGTGTTTTAGCATAATGCGAATCATTGACTTTATACCAGATCAGCTTAGTGACCTTTGATCAAATTTCTTCTTATCCACATAAATACATTCGGTGCAACATGAAATCTGAGCTCTCCGATCACTCCTGCGTATTTAGATTAAGTTTAGATCACAACGGGAACTTCAAGTGAATTCAGGCTATCGCCCCCTGCAAAGTTAATAATGACTCAGCCCCCCCCTCACACGTCACCTGTTTGAACCGGGACTATCGAAACCCCGTTCAGTCGGGATGAACTGATTTCTCCATAGATAAACGAAAAGATGTTTTGAGTGCATTATTGAGCAAGGTGGAAATTTACAGTGAGGTGAGGTTTGACTGTTTGTCCCCACCCGCCCCCCCCCCTCACTAAGGAACATTGGGACATTGATCGAGTGTGCTTTACTCACTAGGCTATCGAGGGCTAAAACTGAAGTCAGTCATGCAATAAGTCATTAAAACATCCACGCTTAATTACGTTAACCACTTTATCAATTTATCTTTACGCAGTTCACTTCCTCACTTTGACGATCGAGGCCGTTTACTGCAGGAATGGTCCGAATATATTATCGTTACACATTGTCAGTAAAACAGTTACGAGCATGTTCCTTTAGGGCGATTATTTTACAGACTAATACAACAAATTGTATACCAAGCTGTTAAGTAGGGAGAGAGATCATGACAATTTGGAAAAGTAATAATCAACATTCCAGTTCCATGACCGGATGTCACTCACACTTAGGTCCTCACACATGCGCATTGGTTCGGGTTGTTAGGGGTGGGTTGAGGGATGGCTGTGTCGTGTGTTGTGTTGACCGTGAGAAACCGTGTGTTCTTACGAATTGTTTTTGGGATCTTAGACGGGAGGGTATGTAGGCGGATTCCGATTGCTTCTGTTGTGGCCAGAATGCGACTCCTTATCCCCTTGGATCAAACGCTGCGAACCCAGTAGGGGGTAGAAAAGCCTCGGCCACATTTATCCACGCGGTTTTATTCTACTAGGTGAGAAACGATCGAACCATTGACAGCCTCAGTTATTCCAGTATTCAATCAGACCATGGAGTGCCCATAGACTCGTTCATATAAATGTCTGCTCGTTGAGTACATTATATCTTCTCCCACGGGGATAGAAAGAGACTACAGAAACAGGCAACCTATGTTTGAGTTGAAAGCCAAAAGTGGTCTTGAGGTGAACACAATACGCACTTTTGCTGCAGGGATTACTTTTTTGTACAAATGTGCTCAATTTACTTGTAACGATCACGGTAGTTGTGTCGCCCTTGAAATGTAATGATATGTAAACCAGTTTGTTCTCAGCAGTAGTAATATTATTTGGCAACCGTTGACGCCTAAAATGTTGTCCTCAAATCGCTCTGAGTATCAGTTTCAAAGTAAAACGCCTCGAATAAACCTCAGTTTTGTCTCAATGTTATCATCTGTACATATTCTCCGTGATCTTGTAGGGCAGCATTGAATTAGGTTACTTTTCCGTTCCAAAGGCACATAGCTTTGAAATGGAAAAACTATTTGCTCGAAGATGGTTTCCTGTGAAGGGCGCGTCGGATAGCTCTGTTTGGTCGACGAGGTAGTCGGACGTCCAGAAAAGCTCATTCTATTCTATTTCAAAGGTAAACTTTATGTTTGGATGAAGTGAGTTCAATACTTTCAAGAGTTCTGGAAGATTCATACTGTGATTGACAAAACCCGAAATGTCATCCGCATATGGCCTGTAAAATACACAACGATCGGTAGTTCGTTTTAGAATGTTATTCGACAGCTTAGCAATGAAGACACAGCGGAGATCCCACTGCTATCCGATCTGTTTTGCAATAAAATTCGTCATTGAATTTAAATTGTATATTGCATGTGCAAAAGTATGGTAATTGTTTGAGGTTACCAATTTGTATTCCAATTTCACAATTATTGCTGTATATGTGGTCACATATGCATTCAATAGTTTCACTCATGAGGTTGGTTGTTTCTCACTCTAGTAAACAATTTGATGTGGATTGTGATGTAATAATCTGTAGACGAATCAC